ACAGTTTGCTTAGCAACTGCTGGGCCATCTCTTCTGTTTATTGCTATTAAGAGCCTGGGACAGAAATGTATTAAATTATTATAAGCTGTAATATCAGGAGCTCAACAGATCTGATACCAACAAAAAATGGCAATTCATATCCTTCATGACTGAGTATAAAGAGTATGTATATAGGAAACTGTTCTAGGAATGAAGGTACCACAGTGTAGAGGGTCACAAACAGATAAATAAGTTGGCCCATGACATGCAATAACACCTAGGGAGGATGAAAATTCTTCAGCTTTCAGAAATAAATCTAGTAAGGGTTGCTACAAAAGACAGGAGAGCAAACAGTCTCCAAACAGCCACTTACACCTTCTGAAACTTTAGCTGGTCAGGACCAGTTCTTCTTTACAGGAGGCTGCTTGTACAGCTAATCAAACAAAGCCTTTGCAATGAAGCTAAGCTGTGAAAAAGGAGCCATCTCCATGAAAAACACCTCTTTTACTGAAAATGTTGCAAAGCATGGACAGTCTTAAAGATGAGAGGCTTTACCCAGTTTTCTTCTTTAGGTGTAAAAAAGAAGATAAACAGTCAGGATTACACACCATGTAATCTGGTTTAAAAACAATTTTCTTTCCTATACTGCTGGCTTGTAAACCACTCTGCAAGCATGACCAAGCATCAGACTACACAAAACCTTGAAACAGAGGTGTTCCACATGCTTTATTTACCTTACATCTATATCCAAGCCCTCCTCTTGACACTGCTTTATACCCTCAAGTACGGTTTCAACATACATCCTTTTGGTCATACCTGCAAACATATTTTAAATTATTTTTATTATATTGCAGACCCAGCTCTCTAAGTTTCTAGTCACCTAAGTTTCATGTTGCACCTTTGATTTTAGACAATAGTCTTCTAACCCATGTAATTCTAATTCTATCTGTAAATATAGCTTTACTGTGAAGCACATATTTGAACTAAACCTCCTCCTAAGCATGTGGAAAAATTAAAATGACTTTGTGTGGACCAGAGAATCACAATAGGATTTCTATTATGTGTTTCTACTAAACCATAAAGAGAAGAAAAAAACAAAACATCAAAAGTAAAATATATCGGCTATTAAAAACAGCAGACTCAAGTGAATAACCCAATCTCATGGTTGTTGTGACCAACCCATTTTGTTCCTCAAAAATCTAATAGGAAAGTGACCTGCTTTTACCTGGTTAAATCTTAGCTTTCATATTTGAAGAATATTTTTATTGAGCCAACTAAATTTGCCTTTACTTATTATTAACATAGTCTTCAACTAAGTTTTATAGTGCAAGAAAATCACAAATTAACTACCAGAACAGACTGTACCTGTGGAATTTTCTTCTCTTGGAGTGCTTCTCAATTCCAGATACTTAACACCATCATCAGCAAATTCTTTAATGACATCTTTAGTTATCTGATTAAGTAAAAATGTAGTCAACATCATAAAAGTGATACTTATAATTAGTTATATTTTCCTTTACAACTAAAAGACCCAGTTATTTTTTGTTGTGAAACGTTTGCAGTGTTTTCAGGCCCAGTGTGTTTTTAGTGGTCGCCATGTCTGTGGAAATGCTACCACACAGAAGGCACATTTGATTCTTTCAGGGACAGTGAAGACAGTTCAAGTGTTTTACAGTAATTATTCTGACCTTCAACTGAAAAGGACCATTGTTGATATTATTACTTGGAATCCAATGCTCTTAATCCATCTGGTTGTGACTGTGTGTACTGCTTGCTTGTTTTAAGTGAACTTTTAATTAATTTACCAGTAAAATATCTTCAGTCCTCGTGGTAACCTGATAGATGATCTGAAACATCTGAAAACATCTAAAATAAAATAGAAAAAAAAATTAATTGGAAAGACACTGAATGAGTATTTAGGAAAAAAAAAAATTTACATTTTAAAAACACCCACTGGAGTCAACTAGCTTGACTGTAGCTTGAAATACAAAGAAACATCTGAACAATTTCTGATTTTAGATACTAACAAAGCATTCCCAACAAAAGTTGTTACTACCACAAAGTTTTTTAAAGGAAAAGGAAAACATGAAGTTTCCAAAAAAGGAAACTAGGTGAGTCAATTTTCTCTGAAAATCAGATGATCTAAGTGAAAAATTTCAATCTTTTAAAGAAGCAATTAATCAACAGTTTTCTTTTTAGTTTGCAAGCACTGAAGAAATTAATCTGTAGATAAAAATATCCAAAAAAATCTATGAGATTATGCTGTAAAACTTAAAACCATATTTTCTGCAGTTAGTGAGTAAGGCCATACATTTCTGTTTTCAACTTAATTGAAAAAATCTTTGGTAAATGTTCATCACACACATGCATATACTCACTCATCTAAGGTTCTTTTCTTCCCTTTGTCAATCACAGTCATTCCATTCTGGATCTGAAGGTTTGGCTTCTGGGCCATGAGTTTCTTCATAGTAGCAGTACTGATACAGCCATTCAAATGAGCATGGAGTTCCTACAGAAATAAAAATCCTATGGACTTATGAAAAGGATGGCTTCTGCACCTTGTTTGTACTACTGTTCTTGTATCCTACAGCAGTGTTTCACTCTGAGTTTGAAAATAACAGTTATCTGCATTTTGGCTAATAATAACTTCCTTAGGTTTTTGCAAGCACTGGTTCAGCTGAGAACCGCCCTATTTCTTTCGTTGGCTCTGGTCTGCATGGGAGCACAGCTGGCTCAGCAAAGAGCTCTCCAGACAATTCTTGGGGTGGTGTGATCCAAGGTGAGGAGGAAGCCAATAGCTGCCTCAGTATTACAAAAAAGTACACTAAGGATTCAAGAACTCTCCCCATCCACTGCAAGTTAAATGTACATGTCCATCATTTACATATAGCAACAGGTGTCTACCCACTCCCCTTGTTTTTGTTCATACTCTGAAGTTTAAACTCACATCAGAAATGCAGCAAGATTCTGCCATGAATGCTAACTGCAGTAACTGCACTCCTTTGCCTGAGGCCTCTTTTTGTCTGATTTTCTATTGACATCCTGACTTCGGGCTCCACATCTGTGATGCTCAGCTCCACTCCTCACTTCACCTTTGCTCCTTCTAATCTCCCGTCTCCCGACTTAAGGAATAGGTCTCTAGCGCCCTCCCAACTCACTCAGAATGTATCGACAAAGCATCTACTTTGTCACCTACCTCTTGTCTCCCTGTACAAATCCATTCTCAATAGGAAAAAAAAATTCAATAAATACTTCCCTTCAAGGTTTACATTGGAAAACATGTCGAAATTGTAACTCACCAGAAGCTGTGGCTGCTTACAGATTCTGGTGACTGAGCCAAATATACAGTGCTACAACTGTGTTGTATTTTTCACAAGCTTACAGTTACCTCACAGAATTTTGACAGACATTAAACATGCAACCTGAAAAGCAACTTAGTGAAAAGGAACGCTGGAATGCAAGGATGGTGTGGCCAGCAGTGGGTTTACTGGTGCCCCCGTGCACTGCCTGTACAGAGCTCTGTAGGCGCTCTCGGGGTTTGGTGAGTGCGGCACACGAGCCCCGATAAATCCACACACACCGCTACGGAAGGCTTGCACTGATATGCAAGAAGTAAGGCACACCCTTCGGACATGGAGAAAAAACGTTATCTGAGCCAGAGTTCTTGGCTAGACTGAGGGGAAATAGGACAAAAAGAGAAAATTAAGATCGCGCTCAACTGATTTAATTGCAATTAGATTAGTACGCTCGGTAAACAAAGCGGACAGGCAAACACCCGACTGCATTTTGTGGTGGGATAAGGCCCTTAGAAACCGCGCGTTCGGGAAGGACTCCGGGAGAGCAGCAGCGTCTGCCGCTCTCTGTCTGTGCCTGCAGCCCGAGCCCGGTGCCGCCGGAGCAGGTCCGGGTCCGGGCCCGCCGCCCCCCGCTCACCGCTTTGGGCAGCCGCCGGTAGAAGCGCAGCTCCGGCTCGCGGTCCCGCTCTGCCGCCATGGCGGCTCCTGTGCCGGGGGCGGGACGAGCCGGGGCTCGGCGGCGGCACCGCCCCGGCCGGCCCCGGGCCTGCCCCGGCCCGCCCCGGCACCGCCCCGGCCCCGCCCCAGGACCGCCCCGGGCCCGCCCCGGCTCCGCACAGCGCGGGGCCGCGGCCGCCGCTCCGCCCGCGCCGCTGCAGCGGGACCGAGCCGAGACCGCGACAAACTGTGTCAGGATTAACGCCAGGAAAGCTCCAAGGGACAATTTATTGAAGCGACAGCCTTTCCAGCCCGACGGCACCGCAATGCTGCAGCAGCGGCCGCTCCGGCCCCGGGCTGGGGCACGCACGCACGGCGGGCATCCACCGCCACTACAAGAGGTTGTCCTGTAATGGCACTAGTCTGCTACATCATCGCGTCACAAAGTCCTCATGGATAAACTCAGCGATTATATTGCCGACCCTTTTCTAAGTAATTTGGCAAGCTTGCTAGCACAAGAATAGGAACTCTTAACTTTCACAGATATGGTGGCCAAACCCAGTCAAAACAAAGTTATTCCAGAACAATCAAAAAAATCTATTTCAATTATTTAATATTTAGCCTTAAGTGATACTGCAGTCTAATTCTAAACTCCCCCATAATTTAAAGTCAAGTCCCTAAACAGATATTAGCTCTTGCTATGCCCCAAACCAAGACGATAATGTAATTAACATCATAATACATGGTGATTTACATACTACCCACATAACTCAGGCAAATAAATTATCCTCCCACAAATTAAAAAAAAACCAAAACTCTGACATATTTAGGGAAGTTAGCTTTAGAGTTAAATTAGAGTTGATTTAAATAAAGAGTTAGCTTCAGAGTTAAATTAAAGCATAGAAATATGAAGTAAACAATTCAATATTCCAAGTTAGTTTGCTGCTCTTTGCAGAGCCTGACAGATCATCCAAGTTCAAGCACAGTCGAGAATTTGGTTAGCTGCTCAACTTTTTTTCATAGAAAAATACCATGTCTATAGAAGAAATGAAATTAATTTCAATTTACTCAGTGATCCACTCTTTTATTTGACCTTAGTTAAAGGCAAACCAAGTACAGATACTGTACATTAAAATGTATGCACATACAGAACGAACAGTTGTTCTTCATTCTACCTTAAAGGCTCAAACCTCCACACTTGTTTATTTAGGGCCCTTTGCAGACAACGACTCCTCTCTGAAACACATTGCACCCACATTTAAATATAGAGAGATCCATCTGCAGGTCCCACATAGCCAACACCTATTAGCAGCACATCAATTAGTGTCCATATTCCAAGTCCACCGAAGCTGAAGAGTTTTCCCAGACCTTCCCGCCACTGACCCAAATAGAAACGATCAGCACCAAATCCACCAAGGGTGATGCTATAAGAATAAAAACACGATTAATTATTATTATTTTTAGAGGAACTGAGCTTGGGTACCCAAATGTTTTTCCCCCCGCTGTGTTTGCTGAAGACAGCCAGCACTGTTGAATGTGAACCCTTCATGCATTCTATGCCCACCACTTCAAGCTCGACTATCTGAAATACATGTTACTTGGCACACCTTTAAAAAAAACCAGAAAACCATAGAAGCTTAAGTTTTAAAGAAAACTAATCTATTTTAGCTTGACATCAACCAATAGTTCCTGCTTACCTTAGTGCCAAAGCAGTAGACCACTTATAACCTCCAGTCCAGTTGCAATAGAGCATCTTAGGAAAGACACGGTTACCTAAACATTGGAAAATATTAAAATCTTACTGAAATAAAGACCATATGATAAGGAAGAAAATTACAAGGAAGAAGATACTATATTTTTCCAAAGGAAAAGGGTTGACACTAACTGAGAAACAACTGTGAACACACAAGCTCATTTATACCCTGCAGTTTTCTGTTCCATCAATCTTAGTCCCATATCAGAAAAGTCAGTGAACAGAGGGAAAATTAAGCCTAGTGGGATGGAATCGGCATAATTTTCTTTAACTGGCCTATGGAGACATTTGATATTGATTCTATTAGTAGTGTGAGAATCAGACCACTAGTAGGGTCAAGTAAGTTTAACTCACAGAAGTTGACAAAAATAAAAAGAACTGTTTTCTCTGGTGTGACAAAATACAACAATATAATAAGCCAATGTTTGCAGTTAGATGTCAAGATTATGCTCAAAAATGAAATGCAACAATAAAAAATTCAGTAGATTGATCAAGGAGCAGGCTGTTATTGCAAAAAGGACATAAACAATCTTTGTATTCACCCATTACAAAATATGTGGAAAATTCTTTAGAGAAACCCAGCTTTGCCCACTTTACCTAGACAATGAATGTGATCCCGGACTGTGCAAGTTGCATTGTATCGCTGTCGAGGGCAGGAAACTGTCATGCAGTTTGTGGAATTGGTACAGACATAATCACTTGTGGCAAGCTGCCAGCAAAACTGGCACGTCATGTTAATTGTAAAGCTCTCCTGCTCGTGATTATTCTCATCCTGTAAAAAACCAGCACTATTACTCCAATAGTATTAAAACCAAAAATCAATGTGCAGTATCAAAATAGATTTCATGAGCAGACACTTTGGGCAAAAGAACAACTGTTCTGTTTGCTACCTTTTACAGAGCAGAATAGAAAACCACCAAAGTGGTATCAAAGTCACATTCAGCATTCCTGATTCCTCTAATTTAAGGCTGCTGCCAAAGGGAGGACTCATTTAGTCTCACCTAAGGTCAGTTTGTAACTCTGACAGATATTTAGCCTCCCCACTCTCAAAATGTTTGGAGTGGTTTAACTCAAAGGCATGGCCAGGTAACAAAAAGATCCAAGGCACGAAAGGCAAACCAGGGAAGGGCAGGCCTGCCTCTTTAACAGCTCACAGTGAGTGATCAAACTTACCACAGAATGGCAAACCTGCCTACATCAGAATCTGGAAATCAATATTCTGCATTTTAAGACAAGATGCCACAGTTTAATTACTTAAATCTGGGGTTAAGAATAACAGGTTACTTACAACACAATGAACATGTGGCTTGACTTTGCAATCAAAAGTTGCCGTCTTCCCATATATACAGGAATAGTTTGTGTTACATGTCATGCAGTCTGGTGGCAGTCTACTGCAAAGCCCGTTGCTGGGACAATTAGTCAGGTAAGGTGGAATTTCTGTACTTTCTGAAAGGTGCAATAAGTTAATTAAGAACCCAAGTAAAAAAAGCTAAATAGCCTAAAGTACATATATGCATTTTTAATACATACACATACACAAACACATGCAGTGATGCTGTATAAAGGGCTTTCCTCACTATACATGGAGCAGCATTCCCAGCCTGTGCTGTGCCAGAGGAGCCACAGGGCTCTGTGCAGGACACCAGCCAACATTTCAGCACAGCACCAGGACTGAGCTTATGGGGATTAGTGCTGCCTCAGCCAGTGCTCCTCAGCAGAAATAATCAGTTCAGGAATAGCAGCTGGGTGACAGGGGTAACCTACTTTGAGCTGAGCTCTAATTAGGGCTACAGCTACCTCAGCCATTTGCTGTTTGCATGTGTACAGAATCACCTCCTAACTGCCAGCAAGAACAGCATCTCTGTCAGTCCTGATGCACCCTCAGTGAGCTACAAAGCTGTACTGATGGTGGACAGGCAGCAAGTTCTTGCAGGATGCTGGAGTCTTTCAAGAACTTCCACCATTCTGAGGGGTATAAACCTCATATAGCACAATAGTACTTTAACCTACAATTTTATAACTCTTAAAGGAACCAGTTGTCTAATTAGATAACCTGAAGTAACTGTTACAGTCATAGAAAAGTAATTCATAATGTGGTACACTGCAATGCTTCTTACCACTGTGAAATAATGTACAGGTCTCTAAGACCCAGTTCAAGAACTTTCGGACTCAAGACTGAGAAGGATCCATGAAAGAAACAAAGAAACAAAGAAAATAAACAACATAATACCTTACCTAATGCTTTAAAATAGGGAGCATTTGTACTTGTTGAAGTTAGGCTTTTTGCCAGTGTAGACTGTGGCTGTGAAAGCTTTGTTGTCATCAAAGATCCCGCTACAAGACAAAAACATGGAGAAAGCAAAATTTCTAAGACAAATTTCATCTTTAGAAACAGTTTGATTTCAGCACTCTGACACGAAAATGCAAGTGGAAAGTGTAACGAGATTAGAAAAAAATCTGTTTCCCTGTTCTACTAATAGTGGGATATTTATGTTAAATATTAAAAAGAGCATTAGAAATGAATTGTTCCTTTAAGAGAAAGGAACTACATTTATTTCCATTCAATCTTATGTTTTGATTCATGAGAAGTAAAAGCACTGCTCAGAAAGCAGATTTACAGAGGGTTTTCTACTAAAGAATACCCTTTAACGAAGCAATGTAAGCAGTTCTTTGACGGAAAGATGGAGCAGAGGACCCGTTCGGGAGGCACGGCTGCGTTCGTACTGCGCGCTGTCTCTGCGGGAGCCGCTGTCCGAGGGCTCGGGAGAGCCGCGATGTGCAGCTCCCGCCAGCCCTCACGGCAGCCACCGGGCACGGGGAGGAAGGAGAGGCAGCTCTGCCACACCACCCGCCCCGACCGTGCGGAGCAGCCCCAGGCCGTTCTGCAGCACCCACGTTCGCGGCAGAGAGCAGGCACAGAAGGCGCTGTGTAACAGAGCAGCACTCGAGCCGGCGGAGCGGGGCCTGGCCCGTCTTCTGCCCTGACACCGAGCACCCCAGCCCCGCAGAGCCGGCACGACGTAACGCGGCCATGCCCGAAACACCCGCCTCAGCCCCAGTCAGGGGTGCGGCAGCGCATCCTCACCCACCGCGGTCACCGCCACCTCCGCAGCCGGACCCGCGCTCCGAACTGGCCGCGGGGGCAGCCGTTCCCACCCCAGGCCCCAGCCGGAGCCCCCGTCCCTTCTCCCACCCTCGCCGCCCTGTCTCGGCGCTGCGGCCGCGCTCACCGCGGCCCGAGAGGACGGAGAGCTGCGCCAGGAACAGCGCGGCCCCGCAGAGCCCGCGCAGGGCGCGCCGCCACCGCCGCGCCGCCATCTTGGTGCGCCCGGCGGGCCCGGCGCCGCCGCCAGGGGGCGGCCCGAGGGCGGGGCGGGGCCGGCTGAGGCTGCGGGAGCGGCGGCGCCGAGACCGCCCCGCACGGCGGCGGAGAGCGGCAAAGGCCGGGAAGCGCTGCGAAACGCCCTCAGGGCGGCAAAGGCCGGGGCTCGCTGCGAAACGCCCTCAGAGCGGCAAAGGCCAGGGCTCGCTGTGAAACGCCCTCAGAGCGGCAAAGGCCGGGGCTCGCTGTTAAACGCCCTCAGAGCGGCAAAGGCCGGGGCGGGCTGCGAAACGCCCTCAGAGCGGCAAAGCCCGGGGCGCGCTGTGAAACGCCCTCAGAGCGGCAAAGGCCGGGGAGCGCTGTGAAACGCCCTCAGAGCGGCAAAGGCCGGGGGGCGCGAAACGCCCTCAGAGCGGCAAAGGCCGGGGCTCGCTGTGAAACCCCCTCAGAGCGGCAAAGGCCGGGGCTCGCTGTGAAACCCCCTCAGAGCGGCAAAGGCCGGGGATCGCTGCGAAACGCCCTCAGAGCGGCAAGGGCCGGGGCTCAGAGCCTCAGCGCTGCAGGATCAGTACACCACACAGGGAGCACGAAAGCGATCATCCATAAAAATGTATGTATTTATAAAATAGATAAATAAAAATCGCCTGGCACTGCCCATGTTAATTCTGCCAAGTGGAATGGAAAGCGTCCCCATCGCTTCTTCAAGTTTGGTTTTTTCCCTTTTCTTTTAGAAGCAGGAGACAAAAACAGATCCACAACCAAAACGAATATAAAACCAAATACAGACTTACTAAACACAGATCTGTGAGTGTGAGGCAAAAGTAAACCATAAGCTTTGTATTTGTGGCAATTGTAGTTTCTGCTTGATGGCTGTGATATTTAAATCACAACTAGAGCTGTACAGCTTAGCTAACTGAGCAATACACTTAACTCTAAGCCTGTTAACTAAATAAAAGTAATTAAATTAAAGTAAAAAAGTAATTAAAGTAAAAAAAAGGTAAAAAATTAATCTCTCAAATAATTGGTCTCCAGTTCAATTGCCTGCAATTGGAACTTTAAAAATCATTTCTAAGCAGAAACAAAACAGAAATACGGCCAGTTTCAAGTTCAGCATAGTGTTTTAAAATTAAAATTGTCCTCTGTTGCTTTTCAGCACTCTACTTCCAGAAAATAAAGTAATAAATTACACACAGAATGGCTATTCAAAGTTTTTTTTGTTAGTTTTAGTAAAAAGCCAAAACAGCAAGCAGAAGGAAAAAAAAAACCACACCACACACAGTTATAGTAATTCAACTGCATTCTTATCAGCATCACAGCAACCAGTCATCACACTAACTCCATGAGTGCCTTGTTACACTGAGGCTTCCAACAAAGACTCCATTCATATTCTGTGAACACACATTCTGAAACAACCAAAATATTCACATACACCCCCCCTCAAACCCCCCAAATTTTTATTATCATCTGGAGCTAGGAAAAAACCTAATCCAGACTACTCCTGAGGTACATATGCACTGCCAAGCTCTGGATTCCAGGTCACAGTCAGGTACCTGCTCTGTGACTGAGGGAGCTCAGTGCTCCTAACAGCATCCCCTGCCCTTCCTGGCTTCCTGATCCCCACCATGGTACAGCCCTGACTTATTTCCACAGCAAACCCACCACATCAGAGCTGTAGAACTTTCTAAATAAGCATTCTGCAATTCAGGCAGATTGGAAACCAATGTGATTGTTAAAGGAGTTGGCAGATACATCTGTCCTCTCGTGCTTTTCCTGAAGCACCAACAGTGCTCCATTTGCTTATTTTGTGTATCTAGTAACTGAAAATTCTCTCAGATGAGCATCATTGCTGTGCAGGAATAAAGAAACATTTCACACAGACAGCTAATAATTTTTTCCTAGCAGCAACATCAGAATTCTTCTTCTGCATTTGCAATTTGTGAAGTCTTAAATTTCTTGAGCTTTTCAATAGTAGAAGATACTGAAATCTCTCCATGAACTTTGTTGTCTCTTGTTCGCACATTGACAGCATTATTTGCTTTCTCCTTTTCTCCAACCACTGCAAGACATAGCAGAAAATATTACACAATCTACATTAGAAAATGAACCTAGAACAAACTTTGTCCAACCTTAGAACTTAAATGATATTCAGAAATGTAGGATGCTGCAATTACCTAAAATGAAGTTATACTGAGCCAGCTGTGCATTTCTAATTTTCTTGTTTAATGTGCAACTTTGATCTAGATCCACATCTGACATAAATCCTGCTTCAAAAAATTGATCACAAACCTAAAAAAAACCCAAAGAAACCAAAATCCTGTTAATATTGCTCTGTAGTTTACAACATACATTTCTAATGCTGCAATTATTGATCTCTCCCAATAATTAACACATGCATATGCATAATTTCATTCTTGTGGGTGATTATAAGGATTTCAATGAAGTTATCTGAAGAAACTTGCACACACAGCAGCACCCCAGCTGGGAGACAATATAAGATACCATCTATATCAAACATGTGCTGTTCTGCTACTGCATGTCAAAAACATGTTCTCAGTCTGAGAAAGGAGAAAGAGGAGAAGGAACACACTTATTCTTGCATTAAAAGGAAGGCATGGGACAGGGGTAAAACCAACCATGGTTCATAAGTGATGTAGTCAAGAATACACATGGTGGGAAATGGAAGAAACTGGCTCTGCCTACTTAGACCTGAGAGTACTGTAATGAAGCATTAGTTATATAAAGTTTGTCTTCTGTGGCAGGCACATTTTTCTCTCTCAGGATTTTTTCATAGAGGAGCACAGAGGAAAGAAAGATAAAACAATTTCTGCTCCTTGTTTTCTCATGTAGAATGTGTTTAGAGAATTGTTTACTTGGGATGATTGCTTGATGAGATTCTGGTGAGGACTGTTTGAGCCTGATGGCCAATCCAATCCGTCTGTGTCTGGACTCTCACGAGAGGGTCACAAGTTTGAGTTAGATATGGTACTTAGAAAAAGTAAGTAGTTTTAGTATCTCCTTTAAATAGTATATTAATGTATTATAGTATGGTTATAATAAAGAAATCGTTCAGTCTTCTGAACTAGAGTCAGACATCATCATTTCTTCCCACTGGGTTCACCTATATTTACAATAGTCATCCAGGATGCTTTGGCCTTTCACAATTACAGAAGTATTTACATAAAGAACCCAAAATACTTGAAGTTACATATCGCTTACTCAGACACATACAAATTTTGGACTGAAACTTTTATATTGAAAAATTTACCTCTCCCCCCAAACATGTCTCCAGAGTTATTCAGCATTAACTCCCTGTTCTAGGATGAGCACTAAGGATCTATGAATCCTGCCTGCTGCCAGAAGGAGGCAAGCTGTCCTCTCACCTGCTGGGCGTATTGTTCCGAGGCGGGGCCCACAGGCACAACCATGACCTGCCGTGGAGACAGCCAGAATGGCCTGGCCAGCACAGGACAAACAGGAAACAAAGGTGCATTTTATATTTCCAGTCACAGCCATAGTCATGTTCCACAGTAATAATTTCTGTATAGAATTATTTACATTAGCTAAGGATGTTGGATAGTGTCTTATCTCCCTCTTCTCAAGCTCACATAAAATAGCAAAAAGATTCATTCCAGTAAAATGACATATGGGGAAGTTTGATCTTCTGTTTTCTCCCATGATGACTTCACAATTTTAAACAGAATTTTTTTCTGCATAATTTTCACTTTTATCTATAACTTTGCAGTGAAGGTGGACAGTCAGGTAACTGAAAATAAGAATTAACTTTTCCTTAGTAATTGAAATACATTCATGGAGAAATGTTTCTAGATCTTACCCAAGATAAAATGATCAATCTTAGAAGTACAAAAATATTTCACATATTACGATTAACTAACGTCTGTGTATACACAAATAATTTCTTACATATACATACCTCTGACATCCTCCTGGTACAAAACCACAAATTTTAAGAAAAAAGGAACAAGAATAATGCAGGACTTACACATTCAATTACAATTGAATTGAAATTCCTATTTCTACATTATTTTTTTTTCTGTGGTGTCATGAAATTGTATGGTTATCATACAACTTAGAGCAGAACACTGGACTTTTCTTGCAATCTTACTGATTTTGAGAAAATTGTAGGGATATTATTTTTGCATTATAATATGTGGGATAATAGGAAGGATATGCAGTTTCTACACTGTTAAAGTCTTCTTAGAATTTCATTTGTGCCACATACCATTTTCCTCCATAATTTTCTGCTAGAATAGCTATCATTCTCTCCACAGATCCCAAAATAGCTCTGTGAATAATCACTGGCCTTTTCTTGTCATCGCCATCCTTACTGGAAAAAATCAAAGTTTTTATTAAAAAATAAAATTATCTTAGCTCACACACATGTAATCCTACTAATATTTTTGATTCTACTTTTAACAGAAAGACAAAATTTAGTTAGTTATACTCATCAAAAGTCTACTGGTTTTACTAAAAACATACTTCAAGTCAACTGGGCTTTTAAAGAAATTCTAATTTAAAATAATCATGCCTGTAGCTAGTGGCAGAGACACACTCTTAAATTTGAGAAGACACTTGACTGACTCAGCACCATTTTTGTGCATTTTAATATTTTATGTTGATCCTTGCACTCTTTCCATTAGGGCTTGCTTTTATTTTGTTGCATGGGAACATACCTGCCCTTACATTTCATTACTTCACTTAAATTACA